TGGGAATTGGCTTATATGTTGTGTGTTCTATCAGGATTACTCTCAAACCCCTCCTTGTCAAGAGTTACTTGCAAAGGATCTTCATGGCAATGAATGGAAGTTCAGGCATATTTTCCGAGGTTAGTTCTCAAGAACAGTGATCAATTTGGATTTTTTTTTTTCAATCAGACTTTTAACATGTGTGTCAGAATACAGTAAAAGGTCACAATCTCTTGGAAAGAGTTAGATATTTTGTAATTTACCTAGTTACCTCAAAATGTAATGGTAAAAGCTTTTTTTTATGCTGCTAATTTACTGTCTCTGATTTTGGTTATATTCGGCTAGACAAGCAAGTTATAATCAAATTCAATAGTTGTTTCCTTTGTAAGTTGAATTACTTGTGGTCAAATACTTTTTTAAGTTGTTCAATACAGTATCAAATTAGCTATTGCACATAAATCCAACAAAAATGTTAACCCGAGAGAAAATATTTGAAGGCAATGTCTCTTATTTCGATTTAATCTATCGAGCGTGCAGGTCAGCCTAAGAGGCATCTCCTTACAACGGGATGGAGCGTGTTCGTGAGCGCAAAGAGACTAGTTGCTGGTGATTCTGTTATTTTCATCTGGTATGCACCATTTATCAACTTTTTTTTTTTTTTATCAATTCAGGAAAAATTTATTAACATGATCTTGATAAACCACCTTACTTTACACAAAGATGGTGCCTAACCTTTTCTCATTCGTAATTATATATTTCCATCATAACTTCCTTTTCTTCTCTTTTTTTCCTTATTTTTTTTTTTACTTTTCCTTTTGTGTGTCATCAGGAATGAAAACAATCAGCTGCTCTTAGGGATACGCCGTGCAAGTCGACCTCAAACAGTTATGCCTTCATCTGTGCTGTCGAGTGACAGCATGCACATTGGCCTTCTTGCAGCTGCTGCACATGCAGCAGCCACTAGTAGCCGTTTTACTATTTTCTATAATCCAAGGTACATGTTTATATCTGTGTATATCAGATCAAAACACTTCCTTATTCACGATTATTTTACAAATTTCAGGGCAAGCCCGTCCGAGTTTGTGATACCTCTAGCAAAATATGCCAAAGCAGTTTATCACACTAGAGTTTCTGTAGGCATGCGTTTTCGGATGCTATTCGAGACCGAAGAATCGAGCGTTCGTAGGTAGGTTAATTTCCTAAAGAAAAAAGGGTTACAAATTTTTGCCTAAAGTAACATACGGCTCATAAATGTTCTTCCGACTATGATAAAGGTTACAAATTTATGTTGTAAAGCGTTATAGTGTACTTTTCTGGACTCAGGTATATGGGTACAATTACGGGCATCAGTGACTTGGATCCAGTTCGTTGGTCAAACTCTCATTGGCGCTCGGTGAAGGTATAAACATAAAATTAAAAATTCGAATTTTTCATTTACGGGTGATTTGTTTATTGCACGGCACGTTGTTATCAATATCAGGTTGGTTGGGACGAATCGACTGCAGGTGAAAGGCAACCGAGAGTGTCATTGTGGGAAATCGAACCTCTGACAACTTTCCCTATGTACCCTTCTCCATTTTCCCTCAGATTGAAGCGGCCATGGCCAGTTGGACTCCCTTCATTCCCTGGTCTGGCTTACAACAGTTTTAAGATTCTTTTTTTGTTTTTTGTTTTTTTTTTTTTCTCTTTTTTCTTTCCAACTTTTGCCAATTGCTTCTACTTATGAAAATCTCCAATGTTGCGAAATCTTCAAAATTTCACTTACATGCCTCAAAAGTTCTGATACTATAAATAGCCAATGAAACTTTTGTTTTGTAATATTTGGGGAGCTGAGGGATGTAATTGTAGTACATTTGAAAAAATGTTAGCCAATTCCTAATATTAGTATGCAAGCCAACCACAAGGGTGTTTTTTTCATTTTTGGTTATTTTCAGGCCTTAAAGATGGTGATATGGGCATGAATTCTCCATTTTTCGGGGACCAATCGTTTAATTTCCAAAACTTGGGTGTTTCCCCATGGATCCAGCCGAGGATCGATTCTTCTTTCCACTCTTTACAGCCGAATATTTACCAATTAATGGCTGCAGCCGCCCTTCAGGACTCGACTAGCTCGTTAAACCCTTCCAAACTCCTTCAATTCCAACAAAACATTCCAAACATTTCCTCATCATTAATGCCGAACCCAATGCTACAGCAGCCCCAACCCCATCAAACCTTCATCCAGAACATTCCGGAAACCAACGGTCAATTCTTACAGCAGCAGTTACAACAACAAATTCACCCTCAATATCAAGATCAACAACAGGTCAAGAAAACAAATTCCGAGGCTCAGTTCACAACGCCTATGCAGCAGCCCATGAGCCAGCTGCAGAATCTCTCGGACCTCATCGGGACCCACATTTCGTCATCTTCTTCCGAAAACCCTTCCATGCAGAACAATCACTCGAGCCCGTTTTCTCGTGAAGGGTCCTTCAAACGGGTCGCTGTGGACCCGCAGCAGGTTATGAACAAAACTTCTTCTCATTTTGGCGTGCCGCAGTTGGAAGAACTCGGGACACCGAATAATAATACTAAGGTCTCGGATCTTACGGCCCTTTTGCCACCTTTTCCCGGACGGGAATTTTCGAACTTTGCGAGTAATTCCCATAGCAATTTGATTTTCGGGGTCGGTAATGACTCGTCGCCAGCTAGTTTGGCGAATGGACTATCGACACTCAGAAACGGCAGCAATGAGAATGAGTCCTTGCCGATTCCTTATGTGGGCCCAACATTCGGAGGTGGTGCTACAGGCAATGATTTTCCTCTCAACTCGGATATGACCACGTTGAGTTGCGTGGATGAATCTGGTTACATGCAGTCCTCAGAGAACAACGTGGACCAAACGAATCCGACCCCAGGAGCCTTCGTTAAGGTAAAGCGAAAAAAAAAAATAAAAAAGATGTTCTTTTTTAAGTTTAAGCCATTACTAAGAATAGTATTTGTTTCGATTTTACTAATTGCATTTCCTCGATAAGGGAGTACTACTCGATGAAGGAAACTCAAGGATAGTTTTAGAATTAGATCTGTTTTTACTGATTATGGTGATACAACTACGTATTATTACTAGTTGCATTTACTCGATAAGGGAGTACTTGATAAAGGATTTTTCGATCATTTTATGTCAAAACTCAAGGATAGTTTTATAATTACATCTGTTTTCTTACTGATTATGGTGATACAACTGAGTATTATTACTAATTGCATTTCCTCAATAATTAGGGAGTACTTGTTAAAGGAATTTTTGATCATTTTATGTCAAAACTCAAGGATATAGTTTTCTAAATAGATCTGTTTTTTTACTGATACAACTAAGTATTATTTAGTGACTTGGAAAATGGTTATTCTTTGGGACAGGTTCACAAGTCGGGTTCGTTTGGGCGATCGCTGGACATATCGAAATTTAGCAGTTATCCGGAGCTGAGAACGGAGCTTGCTCGGATGTTTGGGCTTGAAGGCCTATTGGAGGACCCACATAGATCAGGCTGGCAGCTTGTATTCGTCGACCGCGAGAATGACGTTCTTCTCCTCGGTGATGACCCTTGGCAGTAAGTCCCTTTATACCATTCATTCTTTCCAAATTCCGTGTGCTCACAAAATTCTAATTTGTTCGGGTACACCCTGTTAATTAATTAGGGTGTGTTTGTTTATAAATTTTCTCTATCTTTACTGAGTCCATACTAAGAAATCTATTCTCAATGTTTACAATATAATTAAATAAATATCAATCAATCATTTTTACACATCACATCAATTGTAATTCACTATTATTTTAATCTGAACTCAAAATCTCACTAACAACTAATTAAACATACCACATTTTTAACTCTGGTTAATCAAAAAAATTCGTTTTGAGTGGATATACGTATCCAAGCACGCCCTTAGGCTGTTCATCGGTTAAGGTTTAATATTTGTCGAAAAACACGATTTTTTTTTTTTTTTTTTAATCAGGGAATTTGTGAACAATGTTTGGTATATCAAGATTCTTTCTCCCATGGAAGTGCAGCAGATGGGGAAAGAAGGGCTCGATCTTCCGAATTCGGCCCAAACAAATCGGCTCTCGAGTGGCAGCAATAGCTGTGATGATGACTACACGAGCCAAAAGGACTCGAGAAGCAACTTGCTCAAGTTCTGATGAAAATAATGTAAAATTGAAACAAATTCCAAGTGTTCGTCGTGTGAAAATAATCAGTTCCATTTGGTCTTCGTGATTTCTCTCGATTACTCTTTGCAAATCCACCAAAGGCCACTGGTATCTGGTATGCAGTATGTTTTATTATCCTGCTAAGGGATTGAATTGAACTGTTGAAACTTTTGTATTTCTGGAAAAAAAAAAAATGGTGTATATTAGTACTATGATGAGTTCATGTCTTGTATTGGAGCTAATATGTCTGAATGTTTGAGATGTAATGTAAGAGACTTTGATGGCCATTTGTAATCAAGAAAACTAAAAAAAAAGCAAGCAGGCTTATTATTTTAACCATTCTCCACATATATTATATAATCCTAGAACAATATCAATTTTTCAATGTAGTTTAAGTGGTGTTTTAAATTTTAATTATTATTTTTCTTATTTCAAATAAAAAAAAATGTGACCTTGAAGATAAAGTACAAGTCTTATTAATTTATATTTTAATTTAAGTGTTGTATTATTTTCTTATGTGTGTTTTTTTTCTTTGATCAAGTGATAAATAATGTGTGAAAATTAAGATAGCCACGTGTTCCATGGGTCAAAAATTAGAACA